GAGGAAGAGAGGGTTGGGGGCTTCCTGGAGGAAGAGGAAGAGAGGGTTAGGGGGCTTCCTGGAGGAAGAGGAAGAGAGGGTTAGGGGGTGTCCAGGGTAGAGCAGTGACCAGGGCCCCAGCTTCAGCTTCACCAGCACCATCTGCGGCCCCTCAGGTCCGCATCGCCAAGCAGCTGACTCTGGACAGGACAGTGAACCCCAAGGACATCGCCATCCTCACGCCCTACAATGCACAGGTGGCCGAGATCACCAAGCGGCTTCTGCAGGAGGGTGTCACTGGAGTGACCGTGTCCTCCATCACCAAGAGCCAGGGTGAGGCTGTGGGTGGGCACAGGTGGGTGGGCACGGGTGGGTGGGCACAGGCAAGGGTCTCACCGTCTCCCCCAACCCCCATGCCTCCCAGGGAGCGAGTGGCGCTACGTGCTGGTGAGCACTGTCCGCACGTGCCCCGAGGGTGAAATTGACCAGCGGCCCACCAAGAGCTGGCTCAAGAAGTTCCTCGGCTTCGTAGTGGACCCCAACCAAGTGAACGTGGCCATCACCCGCGCCCAGGAGGGGCTCTGCCTCATTGGTGAGGGCAGGATCTTGACTACAGGAGGCAGATGGGGTGGGGGTGGGGTTCTCCTGGGGCGGGGCCCCTCCCAGGGGTGGGACAGCCTGGCTGGGGCTGGCCAGGGGGCGGGGCTCCCCAGGGGCTGGGTAGCCCCTGACTCCTACCCCTCCCAGGAGACCACCTCCTCCTTCGCTGCTGCCCTCTCTGGCGAAGATTCCTGGATTTCTGTCACTCTCAGCAGAGCCTCGTGCCCGCCCACCTGGTGCGGGTCCGGAGGAGGCCAGCTGTGTCCCGCTGAAGAGCCCCCAGGCCCTCCTTTCCCCTTCTCCTCCTCCCCCTACCCATACAGGAGCGCAGAGGGTCCGTGACTCCTCCTCTGTGCTGCGCCCGCGAGGGCCCCACTCAGCGGATCCCATGTGCCTTCACGGCTGTCAGCCGACTGGCCACCAACGCAGGCCTCGCTGGGCCAGGGTCCCCAAGGCTGGGGACAGTGTCCTTCAGCAATAACGGCTCCTCCTGGGTCTTGGCTCCTCCTGGAGCCGAGCAGGCAGCCGGGCCCGCGTGGTCTGTGTAGAAACTTGAGGGAGAACTCGGGGTTGGGGCTCCCTGCTCTGCTGCTTCCCTGGAACATTTGGTGACGGGAAGCTTCTCAGCGTGGCCACATGAGAAGGCCCTCGTGTCACTGGGGAGTTTTGGGGTCAGGAAGGAAACTCCTTTGAGGCTGCTGCTGCTCTATCTTCGGGCACCATCCATAACCGCACTGGATGTTGTCCACAGAGACCAGCTTTTATTTTTTATTTTTAAATAGACCAAAAACCAGTGTTTTTTTGTTTTTTTTTTACTGGAACAGGGACCTTAGCCCCAGTTCAGGGCAAGGTACCCTCCCTGGAGGAAGGGGCCTTTCTCTCTCCACCGCTGCCTGAGTCTAACTCTGGGACCCACAGCCCTGTGTCCTTCAGGGGTTGCTGGGCAGGGGAAGTCGGGACCAAAGCCAACCCCCCACACCAGCCGCCACCCTGCTGGGATGTGGAGAGCTGGGTTGTGCAACACCGCTGGGGCGGCAGAGTGGACCTGGAGAGGCCTTGGGCCCACTGCGCGCTGCATCCCCCAGGTGCTGGCCTTGGCCGGCTCCCCGGGTGCAGGGGCCTTTGAGACAATTGGCCGGGGTGTCTTTGCAGGTTGGGACCTTCAGCTGCCCCTCTGGGTTGCAGGTCCGTGTCCTGCTTTCTGCCCCTGCCCAACCTTTCCTCCAGGCAGCTCTGGCCCCGGGAAACAGACCTCTCTGTCTGGGTGCAAGCCCACCTGCCTCTGCCTGAAGAGCCACCGCCGCGTGTCCGCGGGTGCTGTGCTTTGTTTACGTGAGCGGTGGGCCTCCCTCCCTGCCACGTGCTGCAGGCCCCGATCAACTTCTACATTCCAGCCCTTGTACCTCTCAGACTGCACTGTGACTGAATACAACTTTTATCATAAAGGCAATACTGAAAGCCCTTTCTGCTCCTCGTGGTTTGAGATCTCATGGGTGGCAATGAGGGGGGTCCTTCCTCTTGCTTTGGGGCTGGGACACAGCCATTGAGATCCTCTAGAGCCAACTGTGGATGACATGCTGGACATGCAGGGACGGGGAGGGTGGTGTCACTGTTGCACAGCTGAGGACACAGGGTCTGAGGGTTGTCTGTACCAGGATGGTAGGAGACTGGGGTGGGGGCTGCCGGGCCGGGACAGCCCATTCCACTGAACTCTGTTCCCAGGCTGGCTGGTCCCAAATGTGGCCATGGGGCCAAGTCCAAAGGCCCCGAGCTGCAGCCCTCAACAGTGTCTGGCCTGGTACTGGGTCTGAAATGACTCCCCTGGTGCCTTGGGCACCGACCCCACAACCGCCGTCCTCCCGCCCCCCCAGGCTGTCTGTGTGGCCATTTAGCATCTGCCTATTTTTCGGCTGAGTCCACACTGCCTAGAACAGGGCCGGCCAGCAGATGGCGCTCGCCTGTGAACTGAAGGAGGGCACCTTTCTTGGAGAAGGGGGTGGCAGGAGGGCAGGGCCTGGGCCCCCTAAGACTCTCCAGCACAGGGATCAGGTGAGCACGAGAGCCCCCGACGGAACAAGGCGTTGGCACAGAGAGCTCAGCATGGTCCAGCGAGTCGTGCTGCTCACTCCTGGGAGCTCAGTGGGTGGCTGCGGGAACACAGGGCAGGGCCTTGGAGGCGGTGCCAGGTGCTGGGAGTCCTCGGTATCTGGGCGGACGGGCTCTGCCTTCCAAGGGGCTTCTGTCTAGAGCAGCCATAGCGCGTGTACCCCAGACCTCACTGAGCCGAAGTCACAACTTCCTGGACCAAGGGGCGTTGGTGATCTGAAGGCCGCCTGGTGGGAAGACAGTGGCTGGAGGGTGGTCGGGCGGCTGCACTCAGGTGGTACCAGGAGGGGACTGAAGGCAGGGGATTGGGCTTCCGTTGCAATGAGGGTTGTGATTTTAAGTCAGGGGCGAGAATGGCGGCATCCACAGAGACAGCGCAAGGCAAGTGGAGGCGGGGCCCGCCGAAGAGGGTGGGAGGAACTGGGGCAGATGAGGCGGGGCCAACAGGGGCGGGGTGGGTGCAGGTCGGGGCTGGCTGCGGATGAAAGGGGAGAAGGCCCCCTGACCAGGAGCCAAGTGCCCTCCCTTCTTGAACCCCCACCCAAGGCCTCTGCGTCTCTGTGGTGTCCCTGGCCCACCTCCTCCCCTTCCCCCGTCCTGCCTTGCCCCCACCCCCCGCAGCCCCAGGATCTTCTCCCCTTCCCAGCCTCTGTCACATGAGTCCTCCGCCTCCATCCCCCATCATTTCTCAGGAGCATGATGACCCCCCGGACCCCCCCAGCCTGGGAATGGGGCATCCAGGAGATAGTCTCCATTGGCACAGGGTGCCCACGGAGAGCTTGACCCCTTGGATGCTGAGTAGGACTACGTGGGTGGGTCAACAGCTGGAGAGGCCTGTGAGGGGAGGCCCATCTGGAGCTGGGGGGTTGGGGCCTTTCTGATGCTGTTGGGGTTGTGACCCTCCATCCTTCTCATGGCGTCCCCATGAGTCAAAATTAACTCAACTGGGACAGGAAACCTCACTGACAGCAGCAAGCGGGCTAGATTGCCAGGAGCCGATGGAGGGGCCAGCCGCCGGAGGGAAGGCTGCCCAGGCAGTAGCCTCAGCAGTGTCTCCCTGCCCAACAGCTCACCGACTTCAGGACTAGGGGGCAGAGTCAATTTCAGCTTCTCTTGGGAAGAAGATAAGGCTTTTGTTGTCATTTTAGAGAAGTCCTCTGGGCCTCAGGCACCCTGGCTCCAAGGAAGCTGGGGAAGGGGCCATGATGCCGTGAGGGTGACTGAGCAGGACTCGGGGGACGGGGCAGCCAGGTAGACAGCCGGGGGGGCAGGTAGACAGCCTGGACAAGACAGCCTAGGAGGCAGGTAGACAGCCAGAGGGACACTGGAGCCCAGGTCACACCCCTAGGTCGCACACTCAGGATCAGCTGGGGCCTCGGTGGCAGAGTTCCTGGAGAAGTTATCGGCGGCTGGCACTTCCAGCTCAGAATGCTGCTGCCCCCCTGAAGGTGCAGTCTGGGGTTCCCTGGGGAAGGAGTGGGAGCCACGGGGACCTGGGCCTCCCTGGAAGAAGTCAGCTGACATGTCTGTCCGTGGCGTGTGTCTATACTCTTTATTAATGGATAAATACTAGAAAATCATCTGTCAGAAGGTGTGGTTGGGGGCAAGGCGGGTGGGCCCCGCCGGCAGGGGGCAGGCTCCTTCGGGGGGCCCCGGCTTGGTGTGCAAGGTGAGGCTGTCCCGCCACGGCTCGTACACCAGCGTGTAGCTCTCAGCCCTCTTAATGGTGAACTTGTAAGCACGGTTGGGCAGCAGGTTTCGGACCTCGAAGGTGCAGGCAGCCACCGGGATGAGGCCGCACTGCGTGCACTCCTGCTGGGTCCGTGGCTCCAGCAGCTTGAAGCGCAGCTCGAACTGCTCAGGGGAAGCCGGTTGGATGGTGACGAACCAGCGCAGGCTGACCCGGTCCTGGTGGGCCACCGACTCCTTGCGGTCGAACATAACGGGCACTTTGGTGCTCAGCACGAGCCGGATATGCGGGACCTTGGTGGCGCTGATGTCCGACACCAGCCGGTGCTTGATGTACAACCGCCCTGGCACCATCATGGCCAGGAAGTTGTCCATGACGGCCGACAGGTCTGCCAGCCGCCGCTCCACACGCCGCCAGCCGGCCAGGAAAGGCCGAGGGTCGGGCGACTCCAGCAGGGCGTCCAGCTGGGCGCGGCCATGGTCCAGCTGCTCCAGCAGGTCGCCGAGCAGCAGCAGCTGGATCTTGGTCTGCGCTGTGCCCACTTTCTTCATGCGCCGGAACTTCCAGGGGTCGATGAGCTGGAACATGGTGTTGGGCAGCACCAGCGGGTTCTGGTCGCCAAGCGCCAGGTGCTTGGGCAGGATCTCGATGTAGAAGGAGCACTTCTGCAGCAGCTCCATGCGGGCGTGGTGGCGCTTGAGCAGGTGTGGGCTCAGGTCTGAGGTCAGGAACTCGCGAAGCGCGTTGCGGCGCTCCATGTAGGTCCTCCATGCCTCTGGCTCCAGCAGCTGCCCGTCCTCCACCTCTTCCACCTCCTCAGGGTCCAGGAAGGCCTGGGGACTGTCCAGCTTCATCTTGTCCAGGCCCAGGCCCGTCACCTGGAAGCTCATTGTCTGGGAGCTGGAGGGGGAGGGGAGGCATGAGCAGGCCTGTCGGTTGCTCTCACCCTCCCTGCTGTGGGGGCCCATCCCAGGCCCACAGGCCTCTGCTGCCCACCCCAGGGCACATCAGTGTGGGTGACCCAGGCCCACTGCCCCCCACACCGGGCCTTCTGTCCTCCCCTGGGGGAGGGGCTGTGGGGAGCACTTCTCTCTGGGAGGAGGAGCTGGAGGGCAGATTGTCAGTCATGGTAACCAGACAGTGCAGGGGCCTCAGTTTCTCGTCTGTGAAATGGGGTGATGGTGCCTCCCCAGGGCTGTCGAGAGAATTCAGTGTGACCCTGAGTGGCAGTGGACACCCCTTGGGGACACCACTGCTTTATGGGTTCCTCTCCATCCACAGCTGCAGGTGCAGAGCCGGGAGCAGGCTCCCCAGACAGCCTGCGTGTGGCTGGGGCCAGCACCACCCAGAGCCTCGGCTCTGAGGACCAGTGAATCATTTCACAGATGGGAAGTCTGAGGCACGAAGCTTTGCTCTCCTCCCTCTCCAGGCCTGGGTTCCCAGCTCCAGGCCTCAGCAGGAGGGGCCCGGCACCCCAAGCCATGCTCAGCTTTAGCCCCAGGCTTTTATCTGGGGTGAGGGGGAAGCCCAAACCAGGACCCCAGGACCCCTGGCCTAAGTCAGGCTCTGGAGGAGGCTGGGGTGGATTCAAACCAGCGTCTGGAGGAAAATCTTGCCTCCTCCGGATCTGACAAGGGGCCAAGGAGTTTCCCAGCTGCAACAGCCTTCCAGTGGGAAAACCACAGCGGGACTGGCGGGAAACCCGGGGAAGGGGCCGCCTTGCGCTCTCAGCCCCGCCCCCCGACCCGCCTCCCTCCCCCCAGGCCCACCTCCACGCCTCGCGCTCCCCAGCCCCGCCTCCTCGCGCTCCCCGACTCGCCTCCCCGCGCACCCGGCGCCAGCCTCCCGGCCCGTGACGCTTCCCGGGCGCCCACTTGCGGCGCCCACTTGCCCTGTCTCAGCGAGCGGAGCGGAGCCGTGGGGCGTACTGCGTGCAGAGCCTCGCGCAGGGGATGTACAGCGGGTTGCCAAGGGGACCGAGGGCCGTTGTGACGCCCCGCTGGTCCCAGGGGATGGGGGTGGGGCGGAAAACCCGGGAGGTCCCTCTCGTCTCGCTTGACCGCGGCAGCCAGCCGGAGAGGCCCGGGAAAGCCGGGCGTCCCCCTTGGCCTGCGGGGTTGCGCGCAGATGGCTCGGGACGCGCCGAATGCGCCCAGGACCTCAGCCGGACGGTCCGCTCGTCCTCAGTCGGATCCTCTGCCCCAGGCCCCGCCCCCCATTTCAGCTTGGACAGAACTGTCTAGGCGCATCTCTCCCTTTCCTTGGGGACTCGGGGGGTCAGGACTCGCGCCCCTACCTGGGAGCCACCCCCCCCCCCGGGTGGCTGGCCTGAAAGCCTGGCTCGAAGTGGGGCTTCCATTCTGCGCAGAGGACCCCGTCCTATAGTCGTTCTGTGGGCACGGTGCTCCAGGGAGCCTCTGAGGCTTCTGGGTGTGGATCAGGACCCTCTGGGTTACCGGGAAGGGGGCTCCGACTGGCCACCTGCCCTCGGGAATCCCTCGGAGGCACTGGGGAAGACGACATAACTGCGTGAACTGGTAAATGGGAGTCGCTTGTCACAAGAGGACGTCCGTGTCTGACAGTCTGCAGGAAAGGGAGCAACCACACTCCCCCTCCAGGCTCCCCCTCTGCGGAGACTTGAGGATTCTCCCCTACCTGGGCACTGCCAGACCGGTGTGAGTGCTGGGCCTGGATAAATGGGGTCTCCATAGCTCCAGGGAACCCCCAAAGGAGTTCTCAGACCTCTCCCATCCCACCTGTAACCCCCAACTGGTCTTAGCACTTGTGGGGTCCCCAGTCAGCCCCCCACCACACCCCAGGCAACCTGGTCCATCTGACAGGGAAGTCCCACCTGGGCCCATCTTGAAGGGGTTTGGGGAGGGACGGGAGCCCTTTCTTGCCTCTGTCTTTGCTCCCACGGGGACCAGTGGTGGGGCCCTTTCCTGGGTAGGGCGTCTGTCCTTGAGCTGCCCCTCCCCCTAGCTGGTGTTCTGATCTCCTGGTGTCCTGTTCTGACCCACCCTGATGTGGAAGGTCTCTATCAGCGTGACCTCCCCATCCAGGCCTGGGCTTGGGACCCTAGGAGCGCGGGGCTGGGGAAGGAGTGGTGGGTGCGTTTCTGGCCCCCTCATCGTGCGGCTGCAGCAATATGTCAACAGACAGCTGTCAGAAATTCAGGCCGGATTCAGAAGAGCGCGGGTAACCAGGGATCTCATTGCCGATGTCAGATGGATCCTGGCTGAAAGCAGAGAATACGAGAAAGATGTTTACCTGTGTTTTATTGACTATGGCGAAGAATATTGAATACACCATGGACTGCCAGAAGAACGAACAAATCTGTCTTGGAAGAAGCACAACCAGAATGCTCCTTAGAAGCAAGGATGGAGAGATGTCTCACATACTTTGGACATGTTGTCAGAAGGGATCAGTCCCTGGAGAAGAACACCATGCTTGGTAAAGTAGAGGGTCATTGAAAAAGAGGAAGACCCTCAACGAGATGGAGTGACACAGTGGTTGCAACAATGGGCTCAAGTATAACGTTTGTGAGCATGGTGAAGGACCGGGCAGTGTTTTGTTCTGTGGTACATAGGGTTGCTTTGAGTCAGAACTGACTCGACAGTACCTAACAACAACACCCTGCGTGGGCCTGTGCTCAGTAAGGGTTAGCCACTGTTGTCCTCGTCTTTGTTGTTACCTACGGGTCTGAGGCACATGAGTGGATTCGGAGAGGGGCTGCTATCTGAAGGTTGAGGGGGGCTGGAACTGGGAAAGGAGGAATGCTCCCCAGCCTTGCATTCCTCCCCCCGTTTCTTGGGCCAGAAACATCCTGGATCTTGGCCTCGTCTTTTTTTTTTTTTTTTTTTTTTTTGCTGTTTTTGGTTCCCAGATGATTTTTAAATTATTATGAAACTTTTTATTTTGAGATAACTGTAGATTCATACGCAGTCATAAGAAATGGCAAGATCCTGTGTACCTCGCCCAGTTTCTCCCGGTGGAGGTGGTGTTAGCTGCCATCAAGGCGGCCCTAACTCATGGTGACATCAAGTGTTACAGAGTAGAACTGCTCTATAATAGAGTTTTCTTGGCTGTAATTTTTACAGAAGCAGATTGCCAGGACTTTCTTTCACAGAGCCGTTGGGTGGCTTCCAACTACTAACCTTTAGGTTAGCAGCTGACTGCAAACCGCTTGCACCCCTCAATGGTAAGATCTTCCAAAACTGTCATACACTGTCACAGCAGGACATTGCCATTAACACAAAGACACAGGAGGCTCCACTCCACCTTTTATAGCCCCTCCCCCCATTCCCACCCTCCTCGGCCCCCTGCAACCACAGACCTGGTGTCCAGCTCTATAACTGTGTGATTGGGAGAATGCTGTGTGATGGAGCCGTGCCGTGTGTAACCTTCTAGGTGGCTTCTTTCCTACAGCGTAACTCCTGGAGATCCGTCCAGGTTGTTGCCTGTGTTCGTAGCTCCTTTCTCTACCAGCCAAGCAGTGTCCTTGGTGTGGACAGATCTGTTTATTATGTTGGTTTTCAGACTGTACTGGCTCCCTCTGGTGGACAGAGCCACCTGGGCCCAGAGGAGGGTGCCCCAGACCACAGGGACCCCACAGCTGTGCCCTCCGGACACACGAACCCATGAGGAGAGGCTCCTCACGGAACCTGAACGAAAATGATGCTGATCCCTGGCCGCCCACCTCAGCCTGAACACTCAGGAAGCCCCCTCCTCACCCCAGCCGACCTGGTTGGCCAGTGGGAGCCCAGTGCTGAGAAGGGTGGGGAAATTGAGGCACAGAGAGCTTCCACATGGCTGAGAGTCTGAAAGCAGGAGCCCAGGCACCTGACAAAGAACCGACCCCCAGCCAGAGCTGTCCTGCCCCCAGGCACCCTCATCCTTGCTCATGTACCTCCACTTGGCCACCCAGCGCTTTCACGGCCCACACCATCTCCCAAGGTTAGCAGAGAGGAAGAGGAGGAGGGAAGGAGGTTAATGAGGGTCTCTCTTAGGCTGGGTTCTCTAGAGAAGCAAAACCAGTAACTTGTATAAATATCTATAGAGAGAGATTTGTATCAAGGATATGTTTCACACAGTTGTATAGGCTGGAATGTCTCAAGTCCACGGGTCAGGCTGGAGGCTTCTCCTGATTCCCATAGCCACGGGTGCTGGCAAACCCCAGATCAGCAGGTCAGACAGCAGCTTCAAAGACTGAGGAATCCCAAGATTGGCAGGCAAGACTGAATGTAAGCTGCTAGCTCAAGTCCCAAGAACCGGAGGTCAGAACTACAGGAGCCAGCTGCAGGATCCAGAACGAACAAAATCCAGCAAGCTTTGCCAGAGAGTCCACCTATACTGAATGCCGGCCACACCCCCCAGGAAACTCCCTTTCGATTGATTGGCTACTCACAGCAAGTCCCATCATGGAGGTGATCACATTCTATCAAACCTCATCATGGAAGTGATCACATCATCATACAATTGCCAAACTACATCCTAACTGCCACACCCCTGAGAATCGTGGCCCAGCCAAGTTGACCCGCAACCCTAACCACCATCACAGGGTGGCAGAGTCGGGGGGGGGCCTGGGTGAGGTGGCCTGGGCGGGAGTCCTGTGGCTAGACCACGTTGTTGTACCAGACGGACAGGTGAGGACGGGAACAGCAGTTACCATACCTCAGGTGGAACATGTGACAAGGGATGTGAAGTCACAGACGGGGTCACAGGAATGAGATGGACAGACAGCTCTCTGGTCATTGCTTTGTCACCAATGCCCCAGTGTGCAGGGGGGTGCTCGGAAGGGAAAGGTGGGGTGCATGAAGTTGGGGAGCAGATCCTACTGGGAGGGCTCAGCAGCCAGAACAGGGTGGGGGAGTACCCAGATGGGGCGCAGCGTGGGCAGAGGCCTTGAGGCCGAGGTGGCCTGAGAGGGGCGTGTATAGCCAGGGCCCTGTGAGGGGGGCCAGAAAGGGTGTGGGCTGCAGGTTTGGGGTGGTGGTGTGTGGGGAGCCCCTGCAGAGGCTTCTGTGATGGTCCCTCTGGCTCTTCTCTCTCGGGGTGCCCTGGGGCATGGTGACCTTCCTCAGACCCTCTGCCTGGTCACCGGGAGGAGGCTGGGCAATCCTTGCTCCCCGCTGCCTGCGCAGGGTCCTGCTAGAAAGTGTCCCTGTTCTGTTCCACTCTCTGGGTGTCTCCTGCTGACCAAGGCCTGGGGACGGGGTGTGGAGTAAGGCACACTGCCCTGACTGCCTCCCGCTGCTGGAGGAATGTGCTGAGTCTCAGATATCAGTGCCCTGCAGCAGTGAGGAATGAACAACGGATGGATGGAAGGATGGACAGACGGGAGTGTCTGGTAGGAATCTGGCCCCACCAGTTCACACAGGTGGGTGCTTCCCCGGCCAAGGGGGCCTCCCTGCAGCCACAGAGGAGAAAGGAGCGGCCCCCAGGAAGGAGGAGTGGCCAGGGTGCAGAAAGCGACGTGTACACCCGTGGGCGGAGCAGATGGGGGATCCACTGCAAGCTGGCTCAGGGCCCCTCTGTCCCCTCCCGGCTGTGCCCATTAAAAAAATATGCTTTATTTTTTGGAGTCTTAAGTTCACAGAAAAATTGTGCAGAAAGTACAGAGGGTTTCCATATTAGCCCCCCAAACACAATTTCCCCTCTTGTTAACATCTTGCATTTCAGTGGTATTTGTTACAATTGATGAACTGATATTGATACATTGTCATTACTAAAATCCACAGTTTCCCAGAGGGTTCACTCTGGTACAGCTCTGAGTTTTGAGTACATTTGTTGCAACTGATGAACTAGTACTGATACATAGTTATTAAAGTCCACAGTTTCCATTGGCGCTCACTCCGTGTGGCACAGCCCTGTGGGTTTTGACAAACACATGTCCTGGGTCCACCATTACAGTGTCCTACAGGATAATGTCACTGTCCTGAAGATGTTCTGGGCTCCCCTGCTCACTCCTCCCCCTGGGCTACTGGCAACCACTGAGCTTTTCACTGTTGCTAGAGTGTTACCATTTCCAGAACATACTGCAGAATGTAGCCCTCCAGATGGGCCCCGGGGAAGTCACCAGAATGCATTTTGGAGAGAACTTGGCTCCTGGACAGCTCCTGGGCAGGGCAGAGGGCGAGTGGCCTTCACTGAGGTGGAATCATCTACCTGTTTGATGGGCAGGGCAGAGGGCGAGTGGCCTTCACTGAGGTGGAATCATCTACCTGTTTGATGGGCAGGACAGAAAAGCGGCGTCAGGGCGCCGGTCTGTGTGGGCTGTGGACGGACGGAATGCAGGTTTGTGAAGTCACACGGGCATGGGTTCCACGGAGACCACCGGGGTTGAGGAGGCGAGAAAGTGGCAGGCCTGCGAAGCAGAACAGTGCCACCCTGCCTCCCTGGACCCCCTTGTCTGAGTTTGACCCTGCTCAGGCAGGCTCCTGGGTCTCCCTGCACACGCCCTGCCTGGCAAGGCAGAGCCACCTCCTTTGTGGCCTTGGTGCCCAGCCCTGACAACTGAAGCCCTGCCCAAGGCCCCTTCCTCAGCGAGTTAGACCTGGGAGCCTGGCTCCTGCCCTGGCCAGTTGGGGACAAGATCCTGCCCACGGAGACACCGTTAAGGTTGAGGAGAGGAGGAAACTGTTGAGTAGTTGGGGTGGGAGGACACAAGATCCCTCTAGCTACTCCCAGTCTGACCCCAGCCCAGAGGCGGCGCAGGGCTGTGGGCCTAGGCCAGGAGTCTCTGAAGTGACTGGGGGTCAGTGTCATTGGCCCCCCAAGCCCTGTGCCAGCTGGGACGCTGGCCTGGGAGCAGTCACTCAGAGCAGCGGCCATCCCACTGGCCCTTCCAGTTTCTCCTTGGCACGGCACCATTGGAAATTACTGGAGGACTGGAGGTGATGGCAGCTGCTCTCAGCCTCCTACTGTGCAGGGGCCTCGGCTGGGCCTGGTGACACACAGGGGCTGCGGCAGGGGCGAGGCCCACAGGGAGCATGGAGCCCTTCCTCAGGAAGCGGCTGACCTTCCTGTCCTTATGGGATAAGATCTGGCGGGTGGGTGTGCTGGATGACTGTGTGCTCCGGACCCCAGATGCCGAGCCCGAGGAGACTGAGTCCCCCGGTGCTGAGCCCAGCGGCCCCTTGGTGCCCCCTGAGCAGCTCTTCATGGCACTGTGCGACTTCACGGCATGGTGTGCGACCGAACTGAGCATCAGCCGTGGGGACCGGCTCTTCACCCTCAAGGAGGAGGACGACTACATCCTTGCTCGCAGGCTCTTGGGGCAGCCCAGTGCTGGGCTCGTGTCCCGCACCCACGTCACCAGGGCCACACCAGATGTGCTCTCAGACCAACCGTAAGTACCTCAGCCAGAGTGCTCCGGTGGGGGGCCTTGGAGCCGGTCTGCTAGGGCTGGGCATCAGGAATAAGCACAGGATTTGAGCATGGGCACTGCCAAGTCCATGTCTCTCCATCCATCCATCCAACCATGCAGTGCTTGCTTGGGGCCAGATCTTCCTGACTTTGGGACCCAGCAGTAAGCAGGCAGACAGGGGTGGGAATGGCGAGTGCCTGGGCTGGGTCAGCCAGATGGGATGTGTTCCCATGGTGGGCCCTGCCTGCCAGCCCTCGTGCCCTCACGCTGGATTCAACCCTGCCATTGGGGCCTGGGTGGGTCTTGAGTCTTGAGGGTCCAAGGCGAGTGGGAGTGAGGCATTGACCTGACCCATCGTTCATGCCCCCAGGCACTTGCTATGTGGCCCCGCAGGGGTGGGGCCGGTCTCAGTGCGAGACCCATGGTAGGACTCAGATAAGCAAAGGTCCCACTTTGTGCTGTGGGGGGTGGTGACAGACGGGCAGAAGGGGATCCTGTTGGGGTCAGAGACCCCACTTGCAAGTCTATACTGGCTGGGCCACCATGCACTGGGCATAGGTGTGGGTCAGATGTAGCCCTGGCCTGTGGGACCTGCTCCCGAAGAGCCTTGCTTGGGAAGTGGGCGCAGATCGAGGGAGCCCACCCATTCTCTCAGAGACCCCAGGCTCCCAGGATGGGACAAGGGGTAGGAGGCTCTGGGTGGTGTTTTGGAGCTGCCTACAGGCAGGGAGGGTGCCACACTGGGGACACTAGAGCTGTGTGCGTGACAAGCTGTGATCACGGAGGACGGCGGATGAGGTGGAGGGGGCATCTCCTCGAGTTCCCAGGCCCTCACTGAGCCACCGTGCCCACTCTGAGCTGGGCCCCACGGTCCAGCCCTGGACGCGCTGCACACTGGCTGCACGCACCTTACCTAGTTCCCAGGGCCTTTCTCTTAAATGGGCCAGGCCAGCCTTGTGGCCCCCTCTGTGCCCCTCCTGCCTGGCCTTGGGGCTCTCATGGGCTCAGGTGCCTCCTCCAGTGTGGAGCATGGTGGTAGCCGGGCAGCAGGAAGCACACTCAGCGAGAAGGGCGGGCGCTGGCTGACCCCGCACTCTGCCTGACCTCCCTGACACTGTTCCTGTCCTGCAACTGCTGGGCAGAGTCTCATGCACTGGGCTGGCTGTTTGCAGACCAGCATCCCCTCAGGGCCACCTCCAGCCTCTTGGGGTCTGGGGCACTCACAACCTCTGCTGGGTGTTTGCCTTGTGACAGGTGGAGCCTAGAGTCACAGGAGGGGCCTTTGGAGCTGGGTGGGAAGCCCAGACCCTGGGAGCAGCTCCTGGAGGCGGCAGGGCGGGCTCCCGGGGTGGGGGTGGTGGGGTGCCCAGGCTGCTCAGAGGATGCTGTGGGAGAGAAAATGACTGTTTGCCTGGCCAGGACATGAAAGGGCTGATGACATGCATGGTGTCATTAGCCCGACACCTGGCCAACCCCAAGAGCCAAGCTGGTGTGGGCGTGGCCCTCACACGGACACAGCTGAGCTCGCAGCCCTGCCTGTGTTCAAATGTTTCTGCCTCCAGTGAAACCCTGCACGTCCTCCCAGGTTCCTCTTCCTGCCCCACCCAGCTGGCTCCACACGCCCCGCGCCCCAGGGACAGACCCTGAGAGGCGGCTGGTGGACCTTGTCCGGAGGGTGTGCAGGGCTCAGCACCCCATCCGAGGGCCTGACAGGGCGGCAGAACTGGGGATGGGGTGGGTGGAGGGATCTGGTATTGGGGAAACCCTGCTTCTCCCTCTTTCCTACAGCCCCTGGGTCCTGCAAGGTGGCCCTGTGGTCCCTTCCCATGTGAGAGGGTCAGTGGAGTGGGGCTCTAGTGGACGGTGCCCGGCAGCCCTGTGGGGAGACTCCTCCAACTCAGAAATCAATGTGCCCGTCCCCCAAGCCCGCTGACCCTCTAGGTCTCTGTCTTACGGGTGACCTTTGCCCACCGGCTGACCCCACCCAGTCACACCCAGTGACGGTCCTTCTAAATGTTTCCCAGGTCTCCATCTCTCCAACCACCTTTACCTACCTCACCCTGTCTCTGGCTTTGCCTGCTCCCTGGCCCCCATGGGGCCCATACTCCCTCAGACCATGTGAGTCCCTATCCTAACCGTTCCCCTCGCCTGCCTGTCCGCTCCTCACATCTCTGCCCCTCCTCCTGCCGGGCCCTGCTGTCACCAGATGCTTCAGTACCTGCCCCTGCCCCCGGCCTCACCTTTGCCTGCTTGGTCCCATCTCTTTGGGGTACTCCCACCTCAGCTACTTGACTCATCTTTGGGCCCTCCACGATCCCCCCCGATCCTGCTCCCCCAGGCTGGTTCAGTGCCCCAAGTCACTGTTCCCCCATCAGAAGGGACAACAGGCCCGTTTACAGGAGTCCACTCCTGTGGCTCCTCTGGGGGCTGGGCCTGGAAGGTCCAGAAAAGGCAGGCTCGGTGGCGGGGGGGAGGGGGGAGTGAGGCAGGTGTGGAGTTCCCCGATCTGGGCCTTGGGAAGCCAAGACATGTGAGGGGGTGGGACGGGGGACACTTCTGTTTCCTTCCAAGGTCTCTGGCTCCAGAAGTGAGCAGAACCTGGGGGGTCGCACCTCAGGTGGGGGCCCAGGTAGACTGCTGCCCAGGTGAGGGTTCTGACGGGGGAGCCCCACGCAGGCCCTTGCCCCACTCCACAGGCAGACCTTCCTGTCTGAGACTCCTGGGCAGAGGGGGAGTGGGTGCCCAGGGGCTCCTCCATCCTGGCACTCAGAGCCTCAGGTGTGCCCACGTTTACAGAGCAGCACCTTCAGATGGGGAGTGCCAGGCCCGTCTGCCCACTCCTGCCTTGCCTGGCTCAGGCTTCCTCCTCCAGGGGCCACTGCAGCACCCAGCCCTGCTCTCTTGCCCCTTTTGCTGACATCCTGAGGAAGGCCGGCCCAGTCAGGCAGCCCCCATGGTCCTCTGTGGCCACCCCCAACAAAGGAACTTCCAGGGCAACCCACAGGGCCCCTCATCCCCTGAGGAACCCCGCCACAGAGGCCGAGCAAAGTCTGGATGTCAGTGGGTCCTGCAAGTGGCCAGGGCTAAGTCTCTCTGGCTGGGGCTATTGGTCATTCTGTGAGCAGGGACATGGTGATCAGTCCATGGCAGGGTCATGAGAGCCTGTGGCTGAGGCAAGTGGACTTCTGGCCAGCTGGGTCAACTCTGTGGCTGGCCTTGGTAGGGTGCGCTCCGGACCCTGGAGGATCCCTGAGGCTGAGCAGAAGGTGTTAGGTGCTCACTGGGGCCCGGACCTGGGCAGCCCAGCACTTCGAGAAGACAAGATAGAGTAGGTCTCTGGGGACCCAGCCACTTGGTCAGCCCCCATAGTGACTGCTGTGCCTGCCACTTGCAGCTGGTACTTCAGAGGGATCAGCAGGACGGAGGCCCAGCAGCTGCTCCTTTCGCCCACCAATGTGCCAGGGGCCTTCCTCATCAGGCCCAGTGAGAGCAGCCCCAGGGGGATTACTCGCTGTCAGGTACTCCGGGCGGCCCCTCCCACCGCTGAGCCCTGAGCCCAAGCCAGCTGAAAAGTCCTTGACCTGGAGGGGCTGCCTGCCGAGGGCTGGGCTGCAGGCAAGCTGGTCACTTCATGTGATTGTTGATCCCTCACCCACTCACTCACTCATTAATTCATTCACTTGTTCATTTATTCACTCATTCTTTTGTGTATTAATTCACTCATTTATTAATTTACTCATTCACTTATTCACCCATTCATTCACTCACTTATTCCTTCATTTTTTCACTTACCCCTTCATTCACTCAACCCTTTATTCATTTCTTCACTTGTTAAATCTGTTCACTTATTCATTCAGTCACTCATTCACTCATTTGTTCACTCACTCATTATCCAGTTGTTCGCTTACTCATTCATTCACTTAATCATCTCTTCACTACTCATGTGTTCCCCGGGCCCCCAGGCCCCTCTCACTGCCCCCTGGTCTGCAGCTGCCCAAGTGGCCGGGGCTGTAAGCCTGGATCTGAGCCGGGCTCCTCAGGGGGCCATGAACCTCATCTGTTGGAGGTGGTGGGGGTCTGGGGCAGGCAGGACACCACCGAGACATAGTCTCCATCTCTCATGGCCCCAGTCTGGGCCCAGGCCAGGGTCTGCCACTACCGCATCTCCAGGGCAGCCAAGGGCCGCCTCTACCTGCAGAAGGGCCGGCTCTTCCCCATCCTGGAGGAACTGCTCATCTACTACAAGACCAACTGGAAGCTGATCCAGAACCCGCTGCTGCAGTCCTGCACGTCCCAGGTGCACTCACCTGCCCACCCGCCAGGCCCCCACTGCCCTCCACAGTCACTGGGGGGCTGGATGATCAGGCAGGTTCCTGGGCACAGTTTCCCTGATATACTTCCCAGAGTGGGGCCACTCCCTCCCAGGCCTGTTAGCTCTGTCTCTGGAAGTCCCTAGCGGGTGTGAGGCCCAGTTAGGGGGGCAGGAGTGGGTGCCGGGAGGGGAGGGCAAGTCTGTGCCGGGAGCAAGCTGTGGGAGGGAGACGCTGGAACCGCAGTATCTCCCGGATCAGCGGACGCTGCCCTGGTTCCTCCTGTCTTGTAATGACAGCCCGCCTGGCACAGTAATGAGTGTTTGTGGACGGATGTCCGGCTCGGGCAAAGGGGCCCCTTAGGTCCCCGAGGCACTGGGTCAGGCCCTCCTGAGGTCAGCACCTGTGTCCCCTTGGCCCTGGCTGGAGCCAGGAGGGCTTGTGAGTTGGATGTGGGAGATGAAGGTCTCCCTGGCTGCAGCTCCCAGCCCCCCACCCTGCGACGCTTCTTCCCCAGTCCCCCTCTCCTGGAGAGCACAGGAGAGGCACTGAGCCTCCCAACCCGCAGAAGGCCCCAGAGCAGGACGAGTGGGAGCGGCCGCGCGCCGAGTTCGCCCTGCGGAGGAAGCTGGGCAAAGGCTACTTCGGGGAGGTGTGGGAAGGCCTGTGGCTGGGCTCTGTGCCAGTGGCGATCAGGATCATCAAATCAGGTGGGTGGGCCCGCACGGCCCTCTGATCCCCGGAGTCCCCGGAGGCGGCGGCGGCGGGGACGGGGCGCCGCGGCGGATCCTCAGCGGTGCCCGCCCGCGCAGCCGACATGAAGCTCGCAGACCTCACCAAGGAGACCCAGACCCTCAAGAGCCTCAGGCAAGAGCGGCTCATCCGGCTGCATGCTGTGTGCTCCGCGGGGGAGCCTGTGTACATCGTCAGCGAGCTCATGCGCAAGGGCAACCTGCAGGCCTACCTGGGCGGTGAGTGGTCCCGCCGCCCGGCGCTGCCCCTGACCCGGCTTCCCGTCGCACTGCCCCCCGCCCCCCTCCACTCCCTCACCTCTCATGGCCCTCCCCTCAAAGCCTGCCTCGACCCCCGCCCCGCCCCAGACCCAGCCCCGCCCTCCTGGACCCCAGCCCCACCCCAACCTCGGCCCCACCACCCCAGGCCCGCCCCGCACAGGCAGCCCCACCCTGGCCCCACCCCATGACCCCAGGCCCCGCCTCTCGGCCTCTCCTTGCCCCCCTCCCTCTCTGCCCACCTCGACCCGGCCCTGGCCCTGCCCCTCGGCTGCGCCCCGAGGCCGCAGATCCCAGCCTCCAGGCCCCGCCCCAGGTTCCAGCCTCACCCCCACAAGGCCCCGCCCCCGAGTCGAGCTCAGGTCCAGCTCTCTGACCCCGCCCTACTTCCCGCCTCGCCTCGACCCTGGTCCCGCCCCACGCCCCCAGCCCTGCCCAGACTTCTTTCTAGCTCACGTGGTCCTGCTCCCAGCTCCCCTCCATCTCGCCCCCCACCACCCAGGCCCCAGCCCACCCCGTCCCACACGAGATGACAGGGCTGCCGCTGCTCAGCCACCGCCTCCCCCGACTCATGTGGACAACGGGCCTGATGTCTTCCAGGTTGGAGGTCCACAGGACTGTGGCTCTGGCTGCAGACACCCATCCCCACTGGGCCTCAGGCCACCAGAGGGTCACATTCTGGGGTCTGGGCTGAGCTTTGTGGAGCGGTGGGAGGTGGGCCACCTGGACACCAGCCTCTGCCGCGCACCGAGACCTGGCTGCCAGAAATGTGCAAGTGGGTGACGACCTTTCCTGCAAGGTGGCGGACTTTGGCCTGGCCCGGCTTCTCAAGGTCAGCGCAGCCTCGGGCTCAGAGTGGCCAGTGCAGATGGTCCTGCCCCACCTGCCCCCACCTACACCCCCCTCCTCCCAGGACAACATCTCCTCACCCAGCAGTGGCACCAAGATCCCTGTCAGGTGGACAGCGCCCGAGGCTGCCAACTACAGTGTCTACACCCAGAAGTCAGACGTCTGTTCCTGTGGCGTCCTGCTGTTCAAGGTCTTCACCTATGGCCAATGTCCCTACGAAGGTCCGCGGGCATCGAGGGAGGAGGCACAGCCCTGTAGGGGGATCTAGCCTGAGGGAGGAGGTGCACACACCCTGGGGAATCCAGCCTGAGGGAGGAGGGGGACCTACCCTGTACTCATCTGCGGGAGGAGGCACAGCCCAGGGAATCCAGCCTGAGAGAGGAGGTGCGCCTTGCCCCAGGTGCTCATCTGAGGGAGGAGGCACAGCCTGCCCAGTGCCCACCTGGGGTCTCATCTGAGGGAGGAGGAGGCACTGCCCGGGGGATCCAGCCTGAGGGAGGAGGTGCACCTTGCCCCAGGTGCTCATCTGAAGGAGGAGGCATGGCCCTGCCCGGGGTTCAGCCCTAGGGAGGAAGCAGTCAGAGGGCCTGGCCAGGTGCAGATTGGTGATGGAGAGGCTTGGGAGCCAGGGGTCCACTGTGATCCCTGGCCTGCTCACAGGTCCCCTCCCCAGGAACGACCAACCACGAGACGCTGCAGCAGATCTCCAGAGGATAGTGGCTGCCTCGCCTGGCCACCTGCCCGGCAGAGGTGTATGTGCTCATGCTGGAGTGCTGGAAGGCCAGCCCTGAGGAGCGGCCGGCCTTTGCGGAGCTGCAGGAGAAGCTGGGCGCTGGCTACAGATGCCTCCACCTGGCTGTCATGTGACCTGGCGCTGGGAACTGGACCCCAGCCCTCCCTGCTGGTGGCCCCTCAGGACAACGTTTGCTGTAAACATGTACAGAGATGCCCGCTGCTGGGAACCCCACTGGCCTGCGCACCCACGGAGCCTCTGGTGTGGGCCTTATGGGTTGACACGCACACGTGCACACACCCAGACAGTCGGTGGGTGTCATTTCATCTGCATGACCTGTGTCCTGGCATCTCAGGGAGACGAACTCAGGACAGAAGGGCCTGGTGGAGTCTAGGCTGCCCAGGCCCAGGGAGACGCTGGATAGGGAGGCCTGGGAGACGGGGCCCCGGCCTTGCCCTCGGCATGGACCCCACCGGGCACACACTGCACACACAGGACAGGGCTGTGTACGAACCTGTGCACACATGAGCCAACACCCAATAAACATTTATTGCCCGACTCAGGTACACGCAGATGCACACAGCAGCCCTTGGCCTCCCTTGAACCTAGGGCTGGGGTTGCTGATGTTGGCTGTCTTGGGTGGGGTGATCACGGTGCTCAGCACAGGGTGCAGGGCTGTGCCAGGCAGCTGGGGCCCTGGGCGTCAGCAGGCCTGGTGGAGACTGTGGGAGAGTCACGGGTCTCAGGTGACCCCACCTTCCAAAGGGCCCACGCGGCACCACTCTCTCCATCTCCTGGGGCTGCAGCAGAGGATAGTCAGGCTGTCCGGGGGAGACCCAAGCTGGGGGAGGGCTGGAGGAAGTGAGGGCAAGGTGGAGGCAGCCCCAGTAGAGGGGACCCCAAGCAGCCTGGTTGTGGCTCAGGGGCCTAGGAAAAGGGGCTGAAGGACACCAGGCTAGGTGTGGGACCCAGAAGGTTTGGTCTGTGGGGCTTGACGACCCTGCCCGCTCAGGCCACACCTCTGCCTCTGCCATGTCCATTGGCGGCTGGCCGGCTGGGTGGGTTCTGGGGGCCCTCCCGAACATGGAGCAGCAACAGCGGGTGACGGGACTCCTATGGGTCAGGGTCTCGGACACCGTGAGGGTCTTACCCTTCTTTCTGGAGGCTGCGGGAGTCAGTGCAGCTGGGAGGGAAGGGACACGAAGCCAGGACCTGGGCATCTCAGCCGCCACAAGCTGAACAGGCTTGGCGTTCCTAGGCCTTGGGGAAGGGCTGGGACTTTCGACTCTTGAAACTTGCTTGCTTCCTGGTCTGGCTGAGACATACATATCCTTCGTGTGAATGTCAGAAGGAAGAGAACCGACTGTTCCTCTTCTCCCTGTAAAAGGAAAAGTTCACGCGAGCGGTTTGCTGTGGGATGTTCTCCGGGTCCTTGCAGAATTGGAAACCTCCACTCCGGCCCTCCCACCCTTCCTGCCCCTCCTGCCCCCTGCGGCTGTCCCTGGGAGGCGGGGGAGCTCCCTGGAGTGGATGTGGCAAGGTCAGCGGGGAGGTGGGCGGCTCCCTGGGTGGGGAGAGTCTTGGCCCTTGCAGGACATGCGTTGTGGTGGGGATGGGGGAGAAAGACACCCAGGTCGGGGGATTGCGCCCCAGCTGCTGGGTGTGAGGAAGCGGGGCTCACATGGGAACAGAGAGGGGTGTGGGTGAGCTGGGGGGGGGGCGGACAGAGGACGTGGAGGACCAGACCTTGATCCTGCTGGGCTCGGCAGGGAGTGAGGGCCCGCTCAGGTGGGAGGAGCCGGGAAGGGAGGTGGTCTTACCCAGGAGGTGGAAGCTGCAGGCTCCTGCAGGGCTGGGCGCTGAGGTGGAGGTGCTTTTGGGTGTGTTCCTTGTCTCGGATGCCTCTCGTGTTCTGTCTGAGACGATGGTGCCCTTTTCTTCGGCCAAGGGTCTGTGCCCCCAGAACACGCCCTGCCGTAGGCTCTCCTGCTCCGGCTTCCCAGGGACCCCAAGTCACCCAGCCACCTTTTCAGGGAAGCCTTCCGGGCCAGCCCACGCCTGCCCGCCCTACCAGTGTCTTGTCTGCCAGCTGCCCGGCTCCGGCCCTCCCAGCCTGCTCTGGGCAGGGCGGGTACTCAGCTAGCAGGTGGGGTGGCCCTCCAGGGAGCCCCTGTAGTAATGGCACCCCTACCCGCAGACTAGGGTCCAGGCTCAGGCCAGCCCTGCTCCTCTGCTCTTCTTGGGCCCCTTCCTCCCCTCCCAGGCTCTTCCTGTTCTCTGACTGTGGCCTTGCCTGCATCCCCCTTGGCTGCTCTGTTCCCCGGGCTCAGCTCAGGCACAGGGGGCCAGTCCTGGCAGTGTCTCACAGTGGGGGAACTGCCAGAGTAGCTGCGGCCCACCCCAGCTCCCCGTGGTCAGAGAGCGTGGGGGGGCTCTGTGGTGAGAAGGGAACCTTCTGGGGACAGCAGCACCACCTGGGCTTGGCCTCTTATGCCTTTGTCTCTGCCCGTGAGATGGAGGACTGACTGCCCATGGGCCCCTATCCACTTTCTCCACCCCTCCTCTCTTCCTCCCCTCCCTCCAAAATCAGCCTCCACCTCAGGCTGTCACACCTGTGTCAGCTGCTAACGGTGACCACCTGTGGTGGGTCCCTCTGCAGTGCCACCCTCCACTCCGACTCAGGTCTTCTGCAGTGACCCCTCAGGTCCGGCTGAGGGGCTGAGAGCACATCAGTGGCTGCTCTAGGGGCACGTTTCCCGTGAAGAGAGATGCCCAGAGAAATAATGGTGGGTAGTATGGGCTTGGCCTGGCCGCCTGCGGGCACAAGGACAGGTGGGGACCCAGGTTGCCTAGTCAGGAGGAAGTGGGAAGGCCCACGGCTGGGCGGACAACCTGTTGGAGAGTGTCCCGCCCAGCCTCGTGCCCTGGTGCCCATAGGCACAGTGACGCTTCAGCAGGGCCAGGCTGCCCGACCTGCTGCTGTGTCTACCATGGTATCCTGCGGTCCAGTGTGCCTGTACGTGGGCCTCTGGGACTTTGAAGCCCGCACAGCTGAGGAGCTGAGCTTCTGGGCAGGGGACCTCTTCCATGTGGACAGGAAGGAGGAGGAGTGGTGGTGGGCCGCGAGGCTAGACTTGGCTGGAAGGGGCCTGGCCCAGGGCTACGTGCCCTACAGCTACCTGGCCAAGAAGGAGACGGTGGAGTCAGAGCCATGAGTGTCCTTCTGGCTCCTACGTGGGACAGAGATGTTGCCCCAGGGCCGCTCGAGGGCTGGGGCAGGACTGAGCCTGGACAGCCCTGTGCCATCCACCTGTGGCTGGGCTGGGGGCAGGGGTTCTGGGAGGCCCAAGTGGGAGGCCCAGCTTGCATTTGCCTGGGGTGGACCTGCAGCCCCTGCCCTGGCCCCTAGGTCAAGGCTGGACAGATGGCTTTGTCCTACCTTGGGACCTCCCCTCAGACCCTGGGAGGGGCTGGCTATGTGGTTTGCTTCATCGCATCTGGGGTAGGGGAGGCCACAGAGGGTGGGGGCTCTTCTTGGTTTCACCCCACATCACCCTTGTGGTCAGGGGTGCTGTGCTGCCGGGACCCAGATGGGCCCAGGGGGTTGTGAGGGGGCTCTGGAGGCCGGCCCAGTGCATGGGTCTTCGTGGAAGTCCCAAGGCGGGGCGGGGCTGTTCTAAACACCCGACACCAGCCGCATGACCCCGTTACAGGGGGCGGGGGCGGTTGAACGCGCCTCTCTCTGGAGTGGGGCGCGGCGGCTGGTGTGGTGGCTGTGGGTCTTCGCTCCCTGCCCCCTCCCTGCCCCCTCCTGTCACTGACAAGCTAGCCCCCAAGGCAGCAGGCTGACGGTCGGCTGGGGATGCTCAGAGCCGAGGGATACCTGGAGTGGGTGTCCCAGAGCCTGTGTGTGCTCACAGCAACCCGAGGTTCCTGCCCCCCCTGCCCGGCTGCCCGGTTTTTCTGGGCGCTGCGTCCGGAGCACTGGCCAGGGGCTGTTTCCTGCCTGAGCTCTGTGGTGACGCCTGTGTCCTCACACTGAGTATGAATGAGTGGAGCATCATGGTGAACAAGACAGACACGCCTATCCTCAGTTTGCCTCCTGCTGAATGGGCACAAGGAGACCAGCCATGGGGCTGTTTCACAGGGGTTGTTTCACTGGGCCCCGTGACAAGGCTGAGGCTGCAGTGAGGGGCTGAGTGGACAGTGTCAGGTGGTGGGACCAGCATGTGCAAAGGCCCTGAGGATGTTTGAAGAGGGAAGGAGCCAGGGTGGGTAGACGAGACACGCAGGGTGGGGTGAGCCTGCAGGCTGGCACCCTGATGGCATCTGAAGCACCAGGGGCAGGGCGGGTGCAAGCAGAGGTCTCCTGGAGGCTCTGTGGGCCCACCCTTCTTCAGTCCACAGTTTGAAGTGTGTTGGCGCCCTCATGATGGGGTGCCCTGTGTGAGCATGAGATCCCACATGGCTCGCACTCCCACCACGTGTCCACCGCGCCCTGCTTGGCCTATTGGTGGGTTTGTGGGGAGTGGGGGTTGCTGCACCCACACATCAGTGGCATGTCCTGGGGTGGGGATGCTGGCAGATGGTAGACAGTGCCTGCTCTTCCCCTTCCAAGCTGCTGGGGCCTTTCCTGGTGTCTGGAACAGGCCACTTGTTATATTTGGGGTCTGTGACGGGCAAAGAAGGGGCCTCTGGCCAGGGACAGCATCAAAAGGAAGGCACAGTCACGGCTGGGACCCTGAGTGGGTGGAGGGTCAGGAGCCAGCAGCCAAGGGTGGCTGGATCCAGGGAGGTGGGGTGAGCAGGCCAAGGGGACAAGGCAGGCCCAGGGTCAAAGTCAGCCTCCGGGAGACTGTGGGGTCAGAGCAGGCACAAGCTGGGGTCAGAGAAGGCCCGGGGTCAAGGTCGGCCTCTGCGAGACTGTGGGGTCAGAGCAGGTTCGGGCTGGGGTCAGGGTGGGGGTATGGGACGGGGTCAGAGCAGATCTGGGCGGGGTCAGGGCGATCGGGCCAGGTCAGCTGCGGGCTCAGAGGTGCCTCTGCTGCCCTGCAGGTGGTTCTCCGGCTGCATCTCTCGCTCTGAGGCCCTGCACTGGCTCCAGGCAGATGGCAATGAGACGGGGGCCTTCTTAGTGAGGATCAGCGAGAAGCCCGGCGCTGACTATGTCCTTTCGGGTATGCCCCCCTCCCCTGCTGGGAGGTGGCCCTGCATCTTCAGGGCTCCTCCCTTGGCCTGTCCTTCCTGCAGGGTGCAGACCTGGCCTCCCTGGGGTATAGGAGGTGCTGCTGCTTTGGTGAACTTGGGGCAGTTAGGGGCAGGGATGTGGTGGGAGGAAGCCCCTGTGGGGCTGCTCTCCAGGCTCTCCTGCCCCCCCTTCCCGTGGCCAAAGCAGGAAGCACTGACCACCTCGCAGGGCTCGTGGGCATCCTTGCGCACCTAGGTCCCCCAGGAGGACCTCATCCAGCCAGCATCACTGTCAGCAGCTATCTGGGCCACCGTGTGCTAGGTGTCCCCAGACGAGTCCAAGCCTGGGGTGGGGAAGGGGTGCTCGCCCTGATGCTGTCTCACACGTGTCCCTGGCCCCAGTCCGTGACAAGCAGACGGTGCGGCACTACAAGTTCTGGCGGCGCGCCGAGGGCTTCCACCTGAATGAGGTCGTGTCCTTCCCCAGCCTGCGTGAGCCTGTGGCCTGCCACCACACCCAGAACCTGTCCCGCGGCCTGCGGCTCACCGCGCCCTGCTGGAAGGTAGCTGCCTCCCCACCCCAGCTAGGGGTGGACACCACCCATGTCCACCTTCCCGCCCACCACGGCTGGGCCTGGGTCCCTCCCATGCGACCTCTCCCAGGACCCTTCAGGGCATGGCTCCTGAATGACGCTGTCCCCAGGGGCTCGCAGAGCAGGGCTCACGGCTGGGGCTTCCTGCTGGGAGAGGTTGGTGGACAGGGTAGGTGAGTCCTGATGGCTTTGACCAGCTGTAGGGGGACCTGCTGTGACTTCTGCAGAACAGGGCATGGAGACAAGAGGCGGGACAGAGGAGGGGACAGGAGGTGGGACGGAGGAGGGGACAGGAGGTGGGA